TCATTTAAACCTTTGGATTACCATGACCTGGATGACTGAGAACCTTCACCAGCATAAGGTCTGGATATTCCCAGTACCCCTGCAGTCAATGTCGCTTGAATGTGCAGATCTATATTGAGTCCGTTGTCCAGACCACCTCTGTAGGACATCAAAACTAGGTCTTTGCACAGTGGGACATCATGGAATGTGAGTAGTTCATCATTCTTCTTTGCTATCTTCCGTACATTCATTCTGTTTATCGTTTCAACTTGCATTTCTTGGTTCTTTTTAAACACAGAAAAGAACGGTTGTTCTTTACCTTGTTTGCTAACATTTCAGCTACTCTAGAAATTGAAAGCAGCGTAACATTCATAGATACCCAACAACAAACAACAGCAGAAAGAAAATAGCAACCAAAGCAAAGAACCAGAAAACCAGAAAGATTAGAACCAAAACCAGTGACAACCCTTCCTTACATCAATGGCATAACAGAAAATATAATGGCAACAATGAAAAAACACAACATAAACACACCGAAAAACCTATACACAACAGTAAGAAAAAGACTTGTACACCCAAAAAACAAGATATCAGCAGGGCACGAGCATAGAGTCACATACAAAATACCAAGCAGACTATGCCATAAAACATACATAAAAAAACTGGATGCTAACTCAACACACGAACAATAGAACATAGAAAGGTGTGTGAAAAAGAAACAAGTTGAAGACGCACAAGAGCAGCGAAACAAGAAGCAGAAAGTGCAGTAAAGAAATAAGCCGTAACAGTCCACCGCACAAGGGAGAACCACATAATGGACTGGGACAAAACAAGGATCATAACCACCGAACAACAAAAATACAAAAGATGGATTAAGGAAGCCATAGAAATAAGGAGACCTGAACCATGAACAGAGATGACGGGGTCTACGCATCAGATCACACATGAGACTGTGTCATCGGCGAGGAGGGCGCGGGCAGCAGAGGGTGACAACGTCCTCTGCTGCCTGCAGATAAATGGAAAAGGACGTGACGCCACCAACATCGGCTCTAAAAATGGATACAGGATGTAGCCGAAACGTTTAGCAAACATGGTATAAAACAACTTTTCTTTTCTGTGTTTAATAAGAATCAAGAAATGCAAAATCTTCTTTGCTGTTTTCCTCTCATCCAACAAATAAAATGGTAAATGGCTTGTGTTAATATAGTGCCTTCTATTTATTTAACCTTTATTTAACCAGATCAATCGACTGAGAACTTATTCTCATTTATAACGACAATCTGGCCAAGAGGCAGCAGCAACAGACAAATAGTTACATTTACGCTAAAGAAAAACAGATAAATAAGATAAAAACACACAAGATCAAAATAAGACAAAACAGTTAGACATAAAGACAAAGGACTGTTCTCATATATAATATGTACAAGCAATCAAAACAGACTTAAAGTAGTCTTTAAGTACTCAGAAGCACATTGATCAGAAACTATTGATTGGAATGAATTATTGAAGGCAGATAACGGGAGGTAGGTAGTGACCTTCAGTGATTTTTGCAGCTCATTCCAGTCATTGGAAACGGCAAACTGGAATGAGGAGCGACCCAGGGACATGCGAGCTTTGGGAATAACCACAGTGATGAAGTTACTAGAACGTAAATTGTGCTGGTTGTTGGAAGTGATGAGTCAACACATTAGCTGTTCTTACAGGACCAGAGCGTTTGCAAAACGGGATTTGCCGCGGCTCCCTGGGGAGGATTTTGGCATTTATAGTAACAAAGCTGAAGCTACAATAAACTGCCATCAGACACCTCTCAAACCAAAACGGGATAAAGGGAGGTCGCTGGGCGGCCCCCCCACATGTGACGTACAGGGTCGCGCATTCAGCGTCAGACGGAAGACACGTCAGACTGATGAAATTTCTTTTTCAGGACCTTTAGCTTTGATGTGACCTGCTTTTTGTCCGGCTTGATGCCCCGCTCAGCCAGTGTTTTCACCACTCTGTCAAACAGCTGGCTGTCTCTCACCGTCCCCGTAAAAAGGCGACTTATCTGTTCGTCCGGCCAAAAGCTCCATGGTCTCCTCGTCCGTCCAGTTTGCCATGTTGTAGGTGGTTGAAAGATACTAGTGAGAGGCCATGTTTATCTGTGTTTATATCCCTTCCGGCCGGCACTCGGCGCGCAGCATACGTCACTAACGCGACCACCCTCTTTTGCGGGGGGGCCTCCCACAGTCGCTTCAAAGGGATTAGCGGGGCTGACACACGTTTAGCCGTCAGAGGCGAGGGGCTCATGTGGCAATATTACTACGAGGCTAAGCACATCAGAATCGAGTTTTATCACCTTTCCCCTTTGCTCCTTGCCGCATTTACAAGACCCACAAATTTGAATTTATCACTCTGTAATGACGCGATTGTCTGTCTTATAAAAGAGGCAATTCTCACACCCAAAGCTTTGAAAAATGACGCTGGGTGACCAAGCGTTTGTTCACGAGGCGACACGCTGTGCCAAAGCGTCGTTTTCCGACTGCTGCGGTAAAACGGCTAGGATGGGGGTGATGAGAAGGTTAAATAGCAAAAGGTTAGAGGTTAAATGTCGGTGAAATGTACGTTTTACTGCGGGCATGGGAAACCAACGCTCTGGCACAGCATGTTGCCTCCTGACGCGTTTGGGAGTCCCAAAACAAACGCTTGGTCGCACAGCGTCATTTTTCAATGCTTCGGGTGTAAGAATGTGTTTGATGAGAAATGAGTGAAGATATGATGGTGTTCTACCGATAATTGTTTTAGTTGATACCAATGTAACATCCTGCGCTAATGGAGTGATGGCCATTTATCGAGTGAGTACAGATCACAATGATTAGTAGTGAAAGGGGCACCAGTGACAAAGCTGACCCCTGCGTGATAAATGACATCGAGTTTATGAAGAAGTTTTTTGGAAGCAGTCCAATAAATGATGTCACCGCAATCTAAGATGGGAAGGATTGTCATTTTGACAAAGGTTTGCTTTGCAGAATGAGTTGTAACTAGTGATGTGTCGGTCGCGAACGAACCAGCTCTAAGAGCCGGCTCTTTGAAGTGAACGACGGGAGCCGGCTCGTCATTGGGAGCCGTCCCCTCCCCTCCCCCCTCCTCTCTTGCTTTGGTGAAAGCTACAGACGATTGGTCAACATGTGTAACTGCGTGTCCAGACTGTCCACACACAGAGCAGTAGGGGCGGGGAAGAGGGAGGATCAGACTCAAGCCTGGTTTATGCTTCTCCGTCAGCTCCGCAAGGGACAGATACGCACGGATTGACGGAAGCGTTTTGCTCTTTTACTTCTCCGTCTCCTGGAGAGTGTTGCAAAGCAATTGCCCGGCAGGACCACAGAGGGTGTAGCGCTGTTCTGTGGTATCCTGTCATGTATCCGGTCCAAGATCGTTTGTTTATATTGTGTTTTTGTGTATATAAGAGACTTTTAACACGGACATATTTGTCTCTCATTCTCCCACCGCTTCATGCGCTCCCCACCTCTAAACCCACGTTTCCTGTCATTTCCGTCCACAAATAAAATGCTTGCTGCGCATCTTTTCACTCCTCCAGTCACGGGAGGATGAAACGTTCATATTTTTAGAGTTTTTTCGCGAGATATTCTTCAAGCTTCTCCGTGTCTGCCGCTAGTTATCCTCGGCTCTCTTTGCAATGGCGGCGCTGTAAACAACAGCGGCGTCCTGACCAATCACAAGCTTGCGTAATCCGTGTCGTTCGACGGATGTTTAAAAAAGTGGGCTCGACTCCGTACGTACTTGCGTGCCTGCCGGATCCCTACGCAAGGACTGATAATGGCGTTGCGTGTGCTCCGCACTGACGCAGACGGAGAAGCATAAATCAGGCTTTAGACACAAAGCAGAGCACATGCGGGTGGAGGGAGACGAGAGGGAATGAGGAGGAGGAAAAGGGCGTGCGAGAGGGAGGAGAGTGTGACGAAGACGGTGAGAAAATGAGCGCCAGCAGTCGGAAAGTGGAGATTTCTTAAAGTGTTCAGTTATTAAACCCATAGAAATGATAAATATTTAATATATTGCATTTTTTTACATTAGTAAATCATTTTACATATAGTTTTGCAATGTTTTGGTTATAAATGTACTCCACACAACAGAAAATCTGAGGAGCCACTTGGGAGCCGAAAGAGCCGGCTCTTTTTGGTGAGTTGAGCCAAAAGAACCGGCTCTCTAAAAAGAGCCGGAATTCCCATCACTAGTTGTAACGTACCAAAGGTCATGCATTTTATCAGAATGACCAGAAGTTCACTTTTTAACTTACAAGCCACACTCATACGTTCAGACCCCGCTGACACCGTGGTGCAGATATGATCTTGACCCATATCCATAACTAATCCTGTGTGATATCACACAGGACATCAGGATGCTGAAGAAGATGCAAGTCTTCTTATCTATCCTCTTTGAATTAAGTTTATCTTTTCTGGCTCATAAACTGACTTTATGCATTTATAAGTTATATAAAATCATATTTTGTTCAACTGACAATATGTTTAAATCCAAAGTGCTTTAATAGTGTGTCCAAAACTCTACATTAATGATTGATGGGTTCACATGAATGTTATTCCTGTAATATTAAGTTACACCAAATTAGTATTTGCTGCATTTAATGTTAATCTATCAGTATATTCACAATTTAATCATATTATTAATATGTAAATATACAAATACTGAAAAGGTGTCTTGCTTATTACGTGTTAAACCAGCTTTTTGAGCCATTTCTCCGTCACGTTAACAACGTTACTAATTTACTTAGGAAAGCAGGATGACACATACTTTTTGGTATGCTACATCAGACACGCCAAGCCACCTATATTCAACAACAGCAAGGTACATGTGGTTTGAACCCGATAAACTATGACATAAACTCAACCTTCCATCAAGGATTTTAATAAAAAAATATTTTCTGCTACTTTATTGGTGTTATGTTTTGTTTTCTTAATCATTTCAACATGATTGTTTAAAACCTGTGTGTGTTTGCACTTACTGACCAGAAGGACCAGCCGTAGTCCCAGCTATGGGGTCTCCAGTCCTCAGGACCCAGACTCACTGTGATCTGGAACACCTGTGTGTACATCATATGGGCCACCATACCCAGAAGACCTGCAGCACACACACACAAAACACATGCACCAAACGACAATGCATTCCTGTTACACTTCTGGTATGTGAAATGAGTTAAAACAGGAGCAGTGATCTTCACTTTGCTGTTTGCTAAGTTAAAGGGACAATTGGTTGAATCTAAGTTGTTTTGAGTATTTCTAATTTATTATTTTATGCTCGGCGTAAACAATGAAACATGGAGATTTTCTAACTATTTCTGAAAAATGTATTATTCTCTACTGTTGCTACATTTCTTACAACCAAGCAGTAAAACCTCAACTTGAACTCAAATTCATTTAATCTATAAATAAACATTAAACACAGATGATCTGTCTTCAATCACAGTTTTTTCCACATATTATTTCAACTGCATGAATGTTTTCGATCCATGTGACACAAATTAGAAGAGAGACATGTTTGTTTAAATTATGGTTAAACTGTCTGAAAAACCAACTCTGACACTCAGCACAAGATGATCTACCAGGATAATTACTGGAAACAAAACAACAATAAATTACTTCACCTCTGAGCTACAACTCAATGTCGTATTGGTAATAAATCAGGATGTATTTAATCATCATAATTAGTCATTACACAGTATCTATTGATTCCAAGCGTCATTATTAGACATCTAATGAATTAGACACAGGGGCATAATCACTCGTGAAATTACAACAAATCAAAAAGCCAAAATGTGAATAGCTTGAGTCAACATTACAGCCGTGGAAACAGATTAACTGATCAACAAAAGAAACTGTGATGAAGTCATTTGTCACATGTTGGAGTGAGAAGCTTTGTCATTAGGAAAAAAGCTCAACAGCCTCAGCATGATTTCATTTAAACCCTCATGGATTATCAGAAAAGATGGAAAAGTCCTAACTTTTTATAACCCTGATGCACACATAAATTCACCATCGACATATACATATATGGACAATGGGTTTCCATAGCTCCAATAACACGTTTTTGAGGCCAAATGGGAGACGGCCACCACCGCCATTTTGACCGTGTCACAGGTTCCGTCAAGCCCAGACAATTCCATAAAAGGGAAGAGAGGTGGAGCTGAGGGTGGGGCTGTAAGGCTGGGATCAACTGACGACACCCGGTCGAACTAGCTACAAGCTAACCTGAAGCTAACCCAAAGCTAATGCGGAGGTGGGAGCTAAGCTAACGGAGGTAGCAACCTAGCTACAACCGGAGTTAACTGTGCACAACACCAGAGCTTCTGAGTCAGAGATACGCCGGGCTGACCGCTGGGTAAAACCGGGTGGAACACAGAGGTCTCCGAGAGCTCCACAAGCCGGCAGCCGCACAGCAGACAAGCGCCGCTGCGATCTGAGATGTGCAGAGCTGCCGCTGGGGAGAACCGGGTGGAAAGGTTTCCATCCAGAGCTCCAAGGCGGCAGCCCGCGCAGCAGACAGGAGCCGCGATCAGACAGAGATGCGCCAAGCTGCGGGGAGGGGAGAATGGGTGGAAAACATCGGTCTCCCGAGAGCTCCACAAGCCGATAGTGGGAACCCAGCTCCACCAACATGTTATATTTCAACCCATTTTCTAAAGTGCAGCATTATGTTAAATGCACTGGGTTTTACCCTATTACATTTAAATTTCATGGTTAAACAGTACATGTTAAAATCTAAGCTCAGCTCGGCAGTGACCTAAAATACATAAATATAATTTTACTTACCGAAAAAAATGGAGTGGAGACTCCTTGAACGCTCTATTAGTGCAATTAATGCCACATCAAGTCATTTTGTCCAACAATTGCACAAAAAATATCTAAAATAGAACGCACAAACGGCACAATTAATGGTCTAAGTTGAGATACTGAAAATGACCGAACAGTTTCCAGGCCAGACCGAGGCTCTACTGAGGCCTTTCCCCGGAGCTAGCTCTGCGGTCACGTGGGTCTGATGCTCATTAATTATACAGAATTTTAGGCTTTTAATACACTTAAACAGAAGAGTGAGAAAAAAATTCACCCCCCTCAGAGTTGTCATGAGTGTAAACTAGATCATTTAAACAAAAAACATGTTTTGGTACCAGGCTGTAAACATGTTTATTTCTGCTGTGAAATTGGTATTTTTAACATGGGAGTCAATGAGGATTTGGTCGCTTCTGACACCAGCCCCTAGTGGATGAGGGCGGAACTGCAATTTTTGTCACTTCCGCGTTGGCCTCAATTTCTGTCCCGCATTGGGGGGCTTGAAATACACACAAAACATTTCTGTATCTGATCATTTCACAACATGAGCTGCAACCCCACAAAACATTAACCATGGTGTCCCTCAGGGTTCTGGATTAGGAAAACGTTAGTTTTCTTGTTCTATGATTTTTCTGAGAAATATTACAAGAAAATACAAGATACATTTCTATTGATAGCTCAATTTTTATTAGTAAATGAAGCCAGTAGAAGCTGATTTGTTATAAAGATACAGCTTACTCTATAAGACATGACGATGTCCAATAACCTTTTACATCTGTATTTAGTCAGAGTTGTGGTTATTACATTAGGAGCATGAAAACTTTTAAGTTCCTGCTTTTTATTTGTATCCCTGTTTTTCCTAATGGCGTTTGATTCAAATCAGGCTTGTTCACCTATTTGTTGGATTTTTTTAAGCTGCTGATGCTTCAACTTTATCTTCTTTTAATCTCAAATCACAGCTGGTCAGTTAAGGCACCACAAGTTCATTTATATTTATTTGTAGACAAAGTTTAGACCAGACATACTGAGGTGTAGAAAGGAAACAGAAGGCCTTTAAATGTTCTTCAAAAGGAGTCATGCTTCCTTTTTGTCCTCAGAGAAACTGATGAGGAGACGAACAGCGAGCAGAGCCAACTTGTTGTGTAAGAGGTTTAATATGAGTCGGGATAAACATACTGGCACAAACACGGGAAGGACGTCTGATGGTAGATCTCTGACCCAACACGTCTTCCAACAAATCAGCATCCCTCTCACTCAGGTGGGAATACTTAAATGTGTTTGAGTTCATGAGATTTAAACATTTAAAAGATATTATTTAAAAAAAATCTGATTTTTGAATTTTAAAAAGACGACTCAGCAAACATCACCACTGTTTGGAGTTTGTGCATTTATTTATTTTTTAGGCCCGAGCAGCGAAAGCGCTGCGAAGGCCTCTTGTTTTTGCTCTGTTTATTATTAGGCCCGAGCAGCGAAAGCGCTGCGAAGGCCTCTTGTTTTTGCTCCGATTATTATTAGGCCCGAGCAGTGAAGCTGCGAAGGCCTATTGTATCTGCTCCGTTTATTATTTTTTTTTTTCTTTCTTTCTTTCTTTTTTTTTCTTCCGCGTCTTTGGATGGCCTTTAGGGGGTCTTAGCATATCCAAAAACTCACCAAATTCTGGCCCAATATAGAAAGTGCGTGAAATTTACGTATTTCACTGGCAACGTGAAAGTCGGTTAAAACATGTTTCAACAGCGCCCCCTGGAAAATTAAAAATACCCCTCCGCTTTGACCTTTTTTCATTGTAGAGCGATGAAATTTGGTACACTTGTAGATCTCAACAATACGCACAGAAAAGCCTCTTGCACCCATGGTCAATATCAAACAGGAAGTCGGCCATTTTGGACTAAAGTGGCCATTTTGACCCCGTTTTGACCATTTCTAGGGTCTATATTTGGTTGAACAGTTTGGTCATTTTTCGCACGATCGTCTCAAAAATAGTGTGCGATCGAACAGAAGCGATGGACGAATCAAATGAGACAATAAAATTGACTTTTCGTAAATACTGAAGGGGCGGGACCAGGCCTCAAAGTTCGAGCACTCGCCAAAAAAATTCAAATTGCTATAATTTCATAAATGAAAGAATTACAGTTAAAGAAATGTTCTATGGACAATCATCATCACCCTCCGAAGACAAATGAATGGTCGATTGATGATGTCACATAAGCCCCGCCCCCTCAGGACTTAAAAGGTCAAGTTTTACTGGGAAATTTTCCAAAATTCGCCCTTTCAAATAATCACCCCAAATTTGTAGCAGGTAACTGAAGATAAGATGGGGTTGCTTGGCGTCACTTTATGGGAGTTTTCTGCAGAAGGCGGGGCTGTGGCGGCGCTGCGAAGTCAGGCGTACCGCTTAGGCCTTACGTTTGCCTCCCATTTCGTCATTTCTAAAGATATCGCCACAAAACTTCTTGGGAGTGATCCTAGTCCTGCCCCCCAAAAAATGTGATGTGAAAATCCGGTGGGTGTGGCCTATTTTCTGAAATAGCGCCCTCTAGGACCATTAAAACTGTCAGCCCCAAGCCATGCTTTGACTGAGGATTACGAAATTTGGTACACTAATGTGGTGTCTCAGGACCTACAAAAAAGTCTCTTGGAGCCAAGCACCAAGTCGCACAGGAAGTCGGCCATTTTGGTCCAAGTACTCGATTTAGTGGTTTTCGCACACGTTGTTTGGAGAGTGTTGCACCATCGCCCTTTTCACCAATCACCTTCAAACTTCTGCTATAGACTCTTAAGACAAAGGGGAAAAAATTCAACCTACGGATTTTAAATAAGTATAAAGGTGTGGGCGTGGCTAAGCCTCAAACTTTGACCTGTCGCCACACCACTCTTTTTTTCACAGCTCCCTATTGGACTCCTTTTAACCAATCACCAGCAATCACTGGCAAATAGCAGCAGACAAGTTGAGGTCACTTGGTTTATAGAACTGGCAGGTTTCGAATAAAGGCGGGGCTTTGGGAGCATGGCGAAATTCACCATCACGCCATGGAAATACGTTTGTCTCTCATTTCTTCAATCATTGTGACATCACCACACAATTTCTGATGAGTGATCTTACTCTGACCCCTAATAGAATTGGACAGCTGAAGTTTGTGGGCGTGGCCTATTTTCTGAAATAGCGCCCCCTAGGACCATTAAAACTGTCAGCCCCAAGCCATGCTTTGACTGAGGATCACGAAATTTGGCACACTAATGTAGTGTCTCAGGACCTACAAAAAAGTCTCTTGGAGCCAAGTCCAATGTCGCACAGGC